GGTCAGTCATGGTTGGTCACAGTCAATAACCGCCCGGTTATTGCTCAATGACCGACCGACCACGGTTATAACTGATGGTTAATGACCTACTGACTGACCGACTGACTGACTGACCAACCGACCGACCAATTAACTAGCTAGTAACCTTTTGAAAATATATAAAAACGTTATATTACCCTATAAAAAAAGTTAATCTGTGTTTTATATTCCGTGTTTTGTCCATAAATGTTGTATATTCACAGTATTTATAACCTTAAATCATGGAGATTATTCGGTCTGTCTAGATTTTGTCAAGCATGTTGCAGATTTATGGAGTTTTTACAAAAAATATGGAGAAATAATGGAAATATTTGAAAATTTTTTTTACAGGGTTAGAGTTAGGGATGGCAACGGTCGGTCATGGTTGGTCATGGTCAATAACGCCGGTTATTGCTCAATGACTGACCAACCATGGTTACGTATAACTAACAGTTAATGACCAACCAACCGACCGACCAATTAACTAGCCCGTGATCGTTTTAAAATATATAAAAACGTTATATTTTTAAAATTAACAGTTTATACAGTTGACCCTATGTTATATCAACCAATTTGGGATGAATTATTATATTGATATCTATGAGATTGATATCGACAAGGTGCTGCCCTATAAAAAAAAATTATACCGAATATATTATATTTTTGTTAAGTTTTATACAACTTATATTCAAAATAGATTCAATACAGTACAATATTTGTATTGAAGCAAAAAAACTAAAAAATCTATAAGGTAATAATAATTGTATAAAAATATACAATTCCATAAATTTGACCAATAATTATGCAAAATAATTGTACATGATTCCATAATATTAAATTTGGTTAGTAATTATGTATAAAAATTGTACAGAAATAAGCAATATTATAGTCTTATTTGTATTATATTTATGTTGTAATTATATCATTACTTGTATTGTAATTGTAACAACAGTTGTATTGCAATTGTACTCTAATTTTATTACAGTTGTACTGTATAAGCTTATGTTAATAAACTGTATGTTTTTATTTTAATCTTTAATAATTTATATGTGAACCCGAATTTAACCCGGTCTTGTGTTACAGCTAGAGATGGGACACTGCGCAGGCGGAAAAATTCGGAAGCCCGGAAATTTCCAGAATGCGTCAGAATTTAAGAATTTTGGCCCGCATTAGCTTTAATGCAGGCCCGTGCAGCCTGCGCAGTAGTTTCGAAAAATCCTCGATTTTCCCATCTCTAGTTACAGCTCAACTAACAAGCATGGAAGAAAGTGTAATTTATCGCATTTATTGCATTTATGACATTGTTGTATTTATGAAATTTGTTATATAAATTTGACATATAGTATATAAGCCATTTACTTGTAACTGTACTCTTTTAATATAAATAAAGACTGTGAAGTCCCTAGAGAGAATAAGTTTCGTGCTACTTACAAATTTCGCATTCAATCAAGTTCCCATTGATCCATATAAACTTAAGTTCACTAAGAAATATAGTGCTAACTAAAATACCCAAACCCGGATCTATTGTTAAGTGGGATAGTGATAGTTCTTCGTTCGCATAATTGTCTTGCTCACATGACTTTATCCGAATATCGATCATCACATGTCTTATTTCAGCATCCATGGATGCTGAAATCGAGAAATAAATTTCCACAATTTTTTTTACGTATTATCAGCAGAAGCTAAGGTTGGCCTTTGTTGGCCTTTAGTTATTTAATATATTTCCAATTTTATTTCCTGGGCAACTATATTATGTGTTGTGTTATTCACCCACACTAACTACCTACGATCCCAACTTGCAAATCTGACACGCCCTTATCGATTGAGCCATATTGTAGATTACATAAGATCTTGTTTTGTGGAGCGACTGACTCTCCATTTACTGGTGTCAATATCTAAAATATAGGGTTATTTATTAGTATATCTTAAGTAATACCCTGAATAGAGTGAACTGGAATCTGATATATATATATATATACATATGGGTCATATATTTTCAACATTATATATACATATAGATATTTCAAACATATAGTCAATTCTGTGAAATTTATAAGTTCTATATTAGTTCATTATGGTAAGTAATAACTCTTGGAAAATTTTTCCAAAGTATTCTGTTTGTTATAAAAAAGGTTAATATATTTCAGAATAAAATTTGAATTCGAATATATTTAATTTAGAAACTATAAAGTAAAATTAAAATTTTACTTAATTATAATCAATCAGTTTCGCTATAACATCACTTTTTTTAAAAAGGAATCTTCACGAAAATATTCACTTGCGTACTACAAAATATATATGCACATTCTATTTAAATAATACGATACCAAAGATAATGATTTCTAAATCTGTGTAATATTTTTATAATACACAATTATTTATCATCATCTACCTCTTTATCTACAATGTAAAATAACTTATCAATTTCAATAAAGCCAACACAATAATCAATAGCTGATGAATCAATAAATGCATATGACCCTAACCGACTAAATGTCTTCACACCAGTACTATCTTCTTTAACAGGCGATGTCCACTGAACATATGCCAACATTACTTTTGATTCTTCGAACTCATAAACTAAATAATATTCTACAATAGCATAAAAATCTTGAACTTCGAATACTGACAGTCGTTTAGAATAGTTCGCATAAATATCTACTTCTATCTTTACCATAACAGTATAATTAATCCGTGACCAGCTTTTATTATGGTGAATCCATTTTGACCCAATATAATGGCCGTCTTTTGTTCTAAGCCGACCATATTTTGTTCCTGTTTGACTAAAAGACATAAGCTGCAACCCGGACACATCTGATACAGTAGAAAAATGTTCTTTAATTTTTTTTAATTCAGTCTGTGTTAATTTGTGTGGAGTTGAAGGAAAATAGAAATCCTGTCCGCCTTCTCCAGTGTAAGCTAAATGTTCATCATGAATTTTGGGCAAAATTGATGGGAAAATTTGGTCATATATTATTCGGTTAAATTTTAAACAATTAAAAATTTCATGTAAGTGAATGTTATTAATAAGATTCTTGTACGGATGTAATTTCGATTTAGTTAGAGGGAGTAGCATTCCACACATCCTTTCAATTGGATATTGCCATGTCGCACAACAGGGTCCAGTTTGAAAGATACTTTCTGAAACATGTAACATATTATGTATACATATTTTCATTGTGCTTAAACGATCTAACACTCCCCGGTAATATTCTTTTTCATAATGGGCATAAAATGCCAGAAGGCATGATTGAATTTTATTTAAATCATCATATGTTATTATTCTTTTTTGACATAATCGTACAGCCTTTACAAACAACCCCCATCCTTTGTAATATTTATTAGGCAATTGATTTTTAAGGAATGGTAGTGAATACATTGTAATCCAAGAGGACCATTCCTCTGCTTTATAGCCACGGTAATGCAGAACAATGTTTCGCAATGGTCGACCCAAACTTGATGGAATGTTTTTTCGTACTAAATGCATCTTGTTTCCAATTTTGTTCCATGTTTCTTTGTTTAAAACATATTCACCATTATTTTGGTCTTGATCAGTAAAAAAAGAACCCATCCAATGAGCCAGCATATAACCAGCAATGTTCTCATAAAATAAGTGCATAATATCCACAGGGAATGTATTTGGAAAGTTGGTAGTATTGAGATTAAATAATATACTTTGTTTGCGAATACCATAACGTTTTATTGCTTGATTTTTTTCTAATTGTGTTTGTGCTTTTTGAATTTTTTTTATTTGTCTTTTGAATTCATTATGAGTTCTAATTGGTAGATTTTCAGGATCATAAGTTTCACTATCCTGATCACTGGGCGGTTTGGTAGGATAATATATATGCGAAGAATAAATGCCTTTAATATTGCAATAGCGGCATCCTCTATATGAATTATGCCCTGTAAGACACATTAATTTTGTAAGTGCAGGTGTGTCACCAGACCAAGATAGTACACAACCACGTAATATGAATGTATCTTCATGTTGAACACTAGGACACACTACTCCTTCTTCTAATCTTTGTAGTTCAGCAACAGCAGGAAATAAAAAAGAATTTAGATCTTTCGGTTCTTTTGGACCCGGTATAATTGTGGAGATCAAAAAATTTTCTTTTTTTACACGTATTTTAGGAGATAAATTTGCATTTATAAATAGCAGAATCCAGCAGTCATCTGTCCTCTGTTTAAAAATTTGAAACCCATCAATCGATGCTAATAATGCAACATCATACTTTTCTTTAAAATATCCTCTTTGTACTAGTTCTTTATATCGTTGGCCATCGAACACATCTCCAATTTTTTCATTACGTTGATATTCTGGCCTTGATACATATTCTGAACGATAAAGTAGATTTTTTGTTTGTTCTGCATCTTGGTATTGCATTATAAGATGATCAATAATTGGGAAATATGCAAATTTACAACGTGCTTCAGGATCTTTGTTATTATGAAATTCAGCTTGATATCGTTCCTTTTTACAATATGGATATTCTGTAAGATTACTATAATCGCCAGTATAAGTGCAACAGGTATTGATACACATATCTATCTACACAGGTTTAAATGGAATTAATGATAATAGTTTTTTTTTAATTGAATATAAGCTCATTGGTTTTGTAACTACAGCCTTCATGATTTCAAAAAAGGCTTCATCAGTAAGATTATTTTGCACTTTAATTTTCAGAAGTCGAATCATAGTAGCAAGTTCAGGAGATATAAAGGGTATATTTTCTAATATTTAATTATATGTAAATAAATAAAGTTGCTATAAATAAATAAAGTTGCATACTAGTAGATATTATAATGTAGTATATTACCTTCAATATCCGTATTACTTGTATCTGTTATAGTTGAATTATTACTATCACTCTCTGACTCATTATTAGAATCTTCATACTCAAGCCTACTCATATACTCATCACCACTCTCTAAACTATTTCCTAATTCATCATAGTTCTCAAATTCATTTCCACTTTTTAAACTATTTCCTGATTCATCATTGTCTTCAAATTCATTTCTACACTCTAAACTATTCTCCCATTCATCATTGTCCTCAAATCCATTTTCACCCCATAAGCTATTCTCCCATTCATCATTGTCCTCAAATTCATTTCCACCCCATAAACTATTCTCCAATTCAACATTGTTCTCAAATTCATTTTCGCTTTCCAAACTATTCCCCAATTCATCATTGTTCTCAACTTCATTTTCGCTTTCCAAACTATTCTCGCTTTCCAAACTATTCATCAATTCATCATTATTCTCAACTTCATTTTCGCTTTCCAAACTATTCTCGCTTTCCAAACTATTCATCAATTCATCATTATTCTCAACTTCATTTTCGCTTTCCAAACTATTCATCAATTCATCACCATCATTAAATTTATTTCTGCTTTCCAAGCTATTTACCGATTCGTCATAATCTTCTAATTCATCTCCACTTTTCAATTTATATACCAATTCATCTTCACGCCCTGAACTATCCTCCAATTCGAACCCACTTCCAAATTTATCTACTTCTAAATTATTATCAAAATCGTTATAATTTTCAAAATTATTCTCATAAACTTGATAGGATTCTTCTGAATTTAGATTAAACTCAACTGAATTTTGATAAAAATTATTGTCTGTAGCTGAAATTTGAATGTTACTTTGTAATGTTGAATCATTACTAGGACTTCGAGTATTTCGTTTATCACGTTGTCGATGCCGAGTTTTAGCACTTTTTGATGTCCATGAACCACCATCATTATTTGATGAGCACAAACAACAAGTA